TTCCCCACACGAGTGCATGCATCATAGAATTGACCATGCGGGAAACATGGATTTTCTATGTCCAAGCCCCAAATGAACATTGACTTTAAAATTTATTTATGGTCATTGTGAAGGCCAAACAAATCGGGAATTGAAGCATTTTGAACGGTATTGGAGATTCTGACGGTATCAGAGGAATACGCTGCAACAGGACGATTTCTCCTTTAAACTTTACAATCAAATTGGTTGCTTCAAGAAGTTTCCTGGTAGTTCTTTTGATGACCACACGTGTACCGTTGTATTATCGAGATGGATTTAAGTTACGCAGCAGAATAACCAGTGAACTAATCTTCAACCGAAGATTGTGTGTATGGTGTCACTCCAGCGAAATCCAGAGAATTCAAAAACTCAACTGGAAAATTTAGGGTTTCGTTTCCATCAACAATAGTATCGATTGATTTAAAAAGCAATAGGTCACCTGGCAATAACTCTCTATCTGGAAGTTTATTTCGTCGACAACAACATATTTTCTGTCTATGTATCACTATTACAGAGTCAATCATTAGCTAGATAATTTTTCACTATATCTGGGAAGGGATTCTCTATCAGTTCGCTTTTATCGAACAACAGTGCAGAAATTTTCTGGAAATTTAATACATTATATGTTGGGATGCAGTTTTCTTCACCGTTTCCAACCTCTCCGGCAGGGTTTGGCTCGAAAATATTTCCGCTGATTGAACATCTTGCAATTGCACTCACATGTTTATGATCAATCGAAGTTTTTGCAAACGTTTCGGCGCAAAACGGTGTTTTAAACATGTGTTTATCTCGTGAGGCAAAGAAAGTAGAGCGAGGAGTTTTTGCGTCTGTCGGAAATCACCAGACAATAGTAGGATGCTTTTACCCGAATATTTTTCCTTTGCCGTTTAAATCTTGTAAAGTTCCATGTAATGCTTTGAGTGAATGTTTGTGGGCCATGGTACATTTATCCCTGTTTATGGCTGTTCTCTTTTGAAATACCGTAGCCATTCCACTTCTTTTTTTTTAATGTTACAGATTGCGTCTGGATTCAAATGAATGTCTAATGGCAGCTTGAATGTTGAATATGCAGTTTGTTCACCATCTAACAAAGTGGCAACAATATTTGAAGATGCAATTGCTAGTGCAGTTTTCGGTTGAGATCGTTTTTTTGCAGGGCTGCGCCTTCAAGTTCAAGTAACTATAGGGAATAAAAATTCGGACGCGAGACTCAAACGCAAAGCCTTTCGACCTCAATCCAGCAATATCCAATATAGTTACAAAGTTTCTGAAATCTGAATCCAGATTCTCGTACCCCACCCCCGCACCCGGCGCCCACTTTCGGCGTCCATACTCCCTGCAAAGTTCCAGTCCCCTAAAGGGAAGGGGGCATTACGGTCGTCCGGCATTATCCGGTAAAGTTGGGAGTTTCTAAAGGCAAATTTCAGGAGGTCCTTGTTTAATATTCAGAAAAATATTGAGAATGCACTTTTGACTCCGAGAATTCTGAATGATCTCTTCCCTTGGTTCGTGTAAAATACGGTCATTTGGCAGTTACAGGAATTTCTCAAATTGGATAGAATATTCGGATAGGCAGTTCTGAAATACGTCAGGGATCTGATTTTTGTGTCCCTACGTCTGCAAGTTAGACCGACACCATTGTCCACGTATATTACGGTCGTCCGGTATTATCTGGCAAAAAAAGTTACCGAAACTCCTAAAATCCAATTTCAGATTTTCCTTCCCCGCCCCGAAACGTACTCGCGACTGACTCGCGTGACTTCGCGTGACTCGAAAGCAAAGCCATTTCCCGCAATATCCGACAAAGCTACGCGTGTTTCTGAAATCTGATTTCAAATCCTCGTTTTGTGTCCGTAGACGCAACCGAGAGCTATTTTCGCTGATCCTGAGCCTCCAAGCTCAGTTCCTGGAAGGGGACATTAGGGTCATCCGGCATTATTCAGCAAAGTTACGGAAGTTTCTAAAATCCAATTTCATATTCTCCTTTAAATTCCCGAAATACACCAGACATGCACTTTTCCCGCTCCAAGACTTTTAGGGTAAGCTTCTGCTATGGTCCACGTGATATATGGTTACCCCGAATTATCCGAATCTCGGATCGAATATTAGACTCGGATTGCCCATCTTGAAATGCGCCAGAGGTCAAGTTTTCGCACTCCACAACCTTTAAGGTAAGCCCCTGTGACGATGTGTCTAAAATACGGTCGTCCGGCATTATCCAGCAAAGTTAAGGGTATTATTGGTAACCGATTCGAGATTCGGGATCCACGCCCCGAAATAAGCCAGCCTTTCACTTTTCGTGCACCTTGATCTACGAAATCCGTTTCTGCAGAAATACGCGCATAGCAACATTTTGCCGTAAATTTTTCCCCATTCCCGGATTCTTCACATTTCCAGCAATAAAAAAATATAATGACGTTGTGAAAATGAGTTAAAAACTGTCCTATATTTCAAGTTGAACGAAATGGCATACAATATGCAAAATTATATTAAGATTGGTTGAGTAGTTTTGAGGTTCATCGTGGATAAACACCGTGACACGGGATTTTTATATATAAAGATATAGTATATGTATATAATAATAACATTGAAATACTTAATATGTAAAAATACCTAATTGTTAATTCAAGAATATCCTGACATTTAATGTGGCTGCGGTAGCTTAGTGGTCCTGATCGTGGACTCGTTGCTTGTGAGTCATGACCTCGGGTTTAGTGCCGCCATGTAGAGAAGGCGGATGCACGTTAAATCTGACGAGGCTCAAACGTCTTCCTATTGGAAGTTAGAAACGGGTGCCAGGTCAAGTATCGTCTTCGTCATTTGAACATGGTTCAAAATTACGAGGTCCGTCACCAATGGCCCTCGTGCAACTTTATAGTGCGACGTTAATATAAATCTCTCCCGATGTATAACTTTATCGCAAAATATTTATGTAAACGTTTAAGGTATCCGACTACGTTAGGAACCGTGATTTTGCAAAAGCGTATAAATGTATAATATTTATGATATTTGTGTTATTTTAGATTAGAAAATGGATATAAAAAAGATTTTTATTATAAAGTTTGGGAAATAAGAATACTTTCAATAAAATGTTTTAATTTTAAGATATATCCGTATAACGCGCCTCTTTTAACAAGTCTGAAATATTGATTCATTGTTTTTAGTTTTAAGTTTTCCCCAATGCATTATCCCAGACTTTGAAAAAGTAGTATACTTCTGAACTCAACTGTTCTTGTTCATAAACAGAGTTTCTTTTTAAATAAACAGTGTTTGATAATCTAGAAGTAAATTTTTTTATACCCATCCTTTTGTTATTTTTAAAGCTTATCGTTTTATCCCGGCTTATAACGCGCACCCTTAATTTTCGATCTTATTTTTTGTGTTCAAAGTGCGCGTTATACACCGGATTTTACGGTAAGTACAATATTTTGACAAAAAATGAACAGAAAATGAACCATTTTCAAAATATTCTCCTTTTGTGAAAAATGCTTCCATTATAATAATATTTTGCCTGTATATAGTTCAGACTTCTGTACAGAGGTCCAACTAGAATTTTTGAAATATATAACTTAAAAGTGGGTTTATCCATGTTTTACGACAACAGAGGGGAAAAAGTTTGAGGAAAAAAAAAAAGCCGATAATCATTTCAATGAGTTGTAACTCTGAAAATAATGTGAATTTTTCAAAAATCAGTCTCAAAAATCATCAAAGTCAAAAATCATCAAAGGTCTGAGCTACATACAGGCAAAATATTATTATAATGGAAGCATTTTTCCCAAAAGGAGAACATTTTGAAAAAAGATTATTCATTTTTTGCCGAAATATTGTATTTAAATAACTTTTTTTTGTCAAAATGTCTTTAAAACAATTTTATACATTCATTCTAATCTATGTGACACTAAATATCATGAAAATGATCCATTTATGCGCTTTTTTAAAATCACTATTCCGAACGTAGTCGGATACCTTAATATGTTTTTTTTTTGATAACACAAAAAAAATATTTATATTTATGTGTGTTGCTTAGAGTAAGCAACACACATAAATATAGATCTTTTTCTTAGAGAGACTTTATAAAGTAAACACACACACGCACGCGTGCGCAATAGCTGTGACGTATATGAACTAAATATTTAAATTAATAAATATAACGGTGCCTTTATTTATCTCAAACGTCACTACAGGCTTTTATAATCCTTTTACAATACATTCTTCAAAAAAATTGTTGCATAACAAATGCAATGGATGGCGCGGAATATGGCACCAGTACCAAAGTCAGATGTGACAATCGGAGTGACGGATCATTTTGAAATGTGAAACTGGAGCTTAGAGTAATTGTAGTTTCATGTATGTATTTAACAGTTTTTAATACTGGTAACATAACGAAATAATTAACTTCTAATTATTTCTTATTATTTAATTTTTTAAAAAAAATTTCTTAAGTCTCGTATATTGACGAACCTTTTGCACAATTTTTTCTTCTCAAAAACGTGTACAGAATTGAGCGTGCAAGTTAGAATCGACGACAATATTTTTTTCACAAAAACATTTTGAGAATTTGAGGTGAGGCTTAGAATCGATGGTGGCTTAGATTCGAGTACATAAGTAAAAAACAAATAATATATATAAAAAAATTAAGTCAATTTCTACTTAGGTCAACAAAGAAAAATCTTATTTTATTTTTACTTTTTATTAAATAATTAAAATTAATATAAATATGTAAAAACATATGGCAGAATCACAACATTAAGTGACAAAATAGAAAAAAAGCGATTTTCCTTGTAACTTTCATATTTTCCGTTTTATATAGGGTGTTGGACTATTTTTGTTACTATTTTTCATTAACTAAACTTAATTATTCTAATGAAATAGTACAGTGAAAAGTGGGATTTGAGTGAGTGAGTGAGTGAATATTAACGTCGCACTGTTCAGCAACATGAGGGCTTTTGGCGACGAACCACGTAATTTGAACTATGGTCAAGTGACGAAGAGGGATTTGAACCCACGATTTTTAGATTAGAAGTCCAAAGGGCTATCCATTGCGCTACAGGGACACAACGAATAATTTTCCTTTCTATATATGTTGTACTATTATTTGGTTCGTTATTATTTATTCATTTTTTAATGTAATTATTGAATTGATATTTGAAAAAACTGTATTAACATCATGTGTCATCCCCTATAAGTTGAAAAAAATGTATTTGAACTTGAATCGATGAATAGAAAGTATTTTATTAACACAATTGAAAATTTGAACAAGATATATGCATACATATATAGGCAGAGAGTGAACTATAGTAGTAGGAATTGAAAAATTGTTCAAAGAGGGTACCGAGTCGCCTTACCATATACTTAGCAAACACAAGACATTTAACATATTGAGAGTGCCAGTCATGTATACGACTTTCTGTGAGTATGACCTAATCTTTGGCTATATCAAGTACAGGCGCACTCATCGACAATCATGCCCTTGTGATTGGTCACCACTAGCTGAGGAGGTTCATTATTATCATAGTGAAGCAGCTCGAGGCTTTTTAGTTTATAGGGTGTGCAGCAGGGGCGGGTTACTTTGTGCCCTTTGATGTTGAGAATGCTCCGAAAAATGGCGTGATTACTGGAGAAGATGTCATTCGTGCCATTGCATCTTCCCCTACAATAGAAAATTTGCACTTCTTTTGGCTGGATGATCCAATTCCATCCGATTTCTTTGAAGGAAATTTTGAGAGAACGCCTGCAGCACTTATGATCGCAAGCCGATCTCTTGAGACGATGGACGGAAGGGTTGAGGATTTTAAGTTCGAGCCTGGCGCCACAGCATTTAATACAAGGTAGGTGGAGGAAACGTTTCTGGCCGTTCCTGCGCCACTGAAATACTGCTTCTGAGCTGTCCTGGATGCTGGCATTGGGAAACCTGAGTCTGGCCCACTGAAGATGAGAATCATGATCCAAGTCCAGATGAAATACCACATGGGAGTTACTTTCACAGTCTGAAAGAGTAAAATAATAATAAAGTACCTACAAAAATGTAAAAAAAAATCATGAGTAGCTTATTTATTTCAAAAGTGTTATTGTACGGATTACTTGTTCTTTTATTGCGAAACGTACACACAACAGAGACAATATATATATATATATATATAGCGCCAATGTTATACAAAAGCAGATTTTTAGTAGCCATCGATATAGACACTGAACTTAAATTTAACATATTGCTTTATGCATGTGATAAAACTTATTGTTGTTACTTTTGCCATCTGATCGACAGCAACATCGGATCAAAGCCCTCGAAATTCATCGTGGCAAGGGGCAAGATAGTCGTAGCCATACGGCTGTCGTTAGCGTAGTTTTGAATACCATACACGTGACTGTACGATTTGCCTAGATTCCACCCCAATTTCGAGAGTACCTCAAGAGAAGGCTCAATAGCTATTTAGAGTACCCTCATGCCGCAAAGGCACTATACATTTACAAACATCCATGCCTTCCCAGGGATTCAAATGCACGCCCAATCGCACAGCTCCCACATAATGTTAATATAACACATTAATGTTAATTTAACACTTTATTGAAAGTTTGTACTACAACAGGTGTTCGAAATTACGACTAGAATTCTTTTGGTAGGCCTGACAGCAGCGCTGCACGGAATTTCTTGCATTCTAGAAGATTTCTGGGATGCCACGTATTCTGATACTACCATTGAGCGGGGTATCTGTTATAATCCACAGCTTCATAAAAGATCGGCATGTCGACTAGTTCCTTGTTTGAATACGAATTTATCCTTCTACCTCAGGAAACGTATCTGAAATGACGACTTCCAGGTGGATTGGTATTTAAGGCACCTTCCGTTCAGCGCCATTTACCTCAAGACTGCCGGGAGAAATCTTTTAGAACTTAAGGAATTCAATGCAGCGTCACTGTCAGGCTTACCAGACGATTTCTGGTCGTAATTTCGAGCCCCTGTTGTAGTACAACCTCTGAAAAAAATGTTTCTGTCTCATTGATATGTTGCTGTTTCTATTCTTTTTCTATGCTTCTTTGCACCATAGCTCGCAATTGGGACATTTGAGCCTTGCATTCCTTTGTGATTCCGAGTCGTCTTTGAACCCTCTACACACCCTGCAAGTTTGTTGGTCTGGTAGCGAATTACTCTGTATAGTTGATCTATGAGCCCTGTATATTATCTAAAAGAATTATAATATGGACGTAATCACTATTTGTTATTTAAGCGCTATGTTTAAGATATTTGTGTATAGTGTAGAAATAGATCATGAAAGAAATTAAAAGGTACAACACGCGAAAAATCATCCATTCCTCCCAATATGAAACACATTTGTTTACACAAACCTCTCTTATGGGGCAATGGCGTAACAGAAACGATTAGGGGCACCTAGAATCCTGGGCCCCAAGACAATCTCCTTTAGGGATTTGACGAAAGCCCTAATTTCATCTTTTCCCTTCGACATCCCGATCAGGTGGTCAGTCTGAAGCGAAACTCCCAGTGTTTAGTCCCCAAGAAATCTTGGTAGACATTTATCGACCCACTGAAGAGATGAAAGGCTGAGTCGACCTTGCCCAGCCCGAAGATAGAACCCCTGAAATGTGGTGCGGAAACGGGATACGCTACCACTCGGCCTCTGGGCCTGAATAGGAATCTATTAGGTAATAATAAAAATAATAATTCTATTAGGAATCTAAGGTAAATATTTAGGTTGATTTAAAAATTGTCATATATTTAAAATACTACGCGATTTCGGAAGTAAGTTTCTTTAAGTGATAAATTCATATACATTTTACTGCTAATGACTATTTTGCTATGTATTGCAAAATATGCAGCTAACGTTTACATTTTGAAGCTAATATTTATTTAATTATTTATTTCGAAAAGTATGAAGTTTACAAAACATCTGAATAAATATATTATATATATATATATATATATATATATATATATATATATATATATATATATATATATATATATATGTATATCAATAAAAAGCGATAAAAATTTAGTAGATTATAATTTTCAATAAGATTATTTAAAATAGTTTATTTATAAAATTTTCCGCATCTTTAATTCATAATTTACGCTCACAAGTCTTCCTTTTCATGACTATAATTTTTACATAGATTTTACATAGTACTTGAAAAATGCCAGTTATTAAATATAGATGGCAGCACCACAGATTAATAACTTTATTGAATTTGTACAGTTTGAAACTCATTTTACACGTTCGTCCACTCTTTTAACATTTGTACTTTTATCTATTTTTAATAACTTTGTAGTACTGAATGCTAAACATACTCCCGCATTTTTTTTTATCCCTTTTGCTTAGACTCTAGTAAGGGTTCGCGTCGATCTGTAGCGTAGGGAAGTGGAGTCAAGTAAAAACGAATCTATATATATATATATATTCTGATAGCTCTTCTAGCGATTTGTGTATCATAGAATATTAGAAACTTTATCATTCACCATAAGTCTATTATTCTTCATAAGCCAAATAATGATGATGGACCTTGTTGCGTACATTTTAACATGTATAAAGCAGGAGTAAAAAATTCTTAAGGCTGTCTTCGGTTAATGTTAAAGAATAGGACCAGAATTTGGGACATTTTTTCAGATATAAAAAAATGAAACATTAATATGATATTCTGGCTTCAGTATTCTTTAGAGAGCAGAATTTTTTTTTTTATTATACTTCCCATTTTTAACAGTTTATTCATTTCTTCTGGTATAAAATGTGTTTCGCGCTTTTTCTCCTATACCGTAATGTTAAATGGGCTATGCCTTCACGTATTATAAGAAAAAAAAAGAAAGTATTCATGGAATATTTTGGCATTTTTAAAAACACTATATTGTTAACAGAGGTAGGAGTTATAGTATTCCAAATTTCCATTGAAATTGAGGCATTTTTTCTGTCTGAAAATGTGCTTCGCGTTTAGTTCAAGCTCTCGTACTTTTACCGAAGACAGCCTTAAGTGTTTTTTGTTGCTGTTGTTAATGTTTGAGCGAAGCAGAAAAATGAAAAATCCCGTTTTTTTTATATATATATGTTCATGAAAAAATGATATTTCAAGCAAACTTTGCATAGTGTTTTGAATTATGATATTTTAAAAACTTAAAATAAAATACCGTTTTCTGGTCCCTTATATATATTTAAATTTAAACAAAAAATAAATATCTATTTCCTGTTTTAAATGTTCTTTCTTTATTTTTATTTTCTTTCAACTCTTTATCTACCGACGGTACTTATAAGTACCACTCACTTTACAATTACGTAGAATAACCATTTTTACGAATACTCTGACGATACTTAGCAGGAATGTTCGTTGAAATCTTGGAAGAGTGGATTTCAAAGAATATATTCCTGTATCTCGGAAGATACATGACTGCACGGGTTCTGTGATGAGTATTTTAGCGGAGAAGGCGAATAGTTTTAGAGCAGAAATTGCATTTTCAGCTGACGGCGTTTTAAGCGGATTGCGAAGATCGTCATTTTTATTCTGAAAAAATAGTTAATGTCAAAAGGTAAGTTTCTTATTTTTTTTGTATGTTAATGACTACTTTAGGAAACGATTTGACTATTTATTTTAAATGAACTGTGTATTTAATTAATTTTATAGTCGATTATCTTTAATTAATTAATTAGCTCCAACGGATTAAATTTCCCAAAGTTGAGTATTTTGTTTATGTATATCCCTTAATTTTAATGTAGTGAAAAAATTGCGGGAAAAAAAAACTACAGTAAATCGTAATGTGGTAGATGAAAGGTTAAAGAAAACCAACAATGTAAAATGTTTTGATAAACTATTTGATAAGTATGAAACCCTTCTCGAAAGAAAATGTCAGTTCTTATATGTAGATATTTTTATCTTGTGTACTGGTTCCGTACAAATCGATATAATAGCTTACCTCAGTATTTTGGGAGTATTAACTAATCTAATTAAAGTATGCAATTTTTGTATTTTTCAAAAATATACTTTCCTTTACTTTTAAACTCTCACAATACATGTGGCTAAAATTATCTTGTATTTTGCAACCTTCTCA